ATTGCTTCTCTGTGGGGATGAGGCCTCAGAAGCGCCTCTCCCCCAGCTTGGAGTTTTTTTTTTCTATTTCTCCTTTTGTGTCTTCAACTGCTTTGAGAAATTTTATTTATGTCCCCTGGTATGTTATTCTTCTGACTGGATTCCTTTTTATTGCTCCGACTCACACTCAGGTGAGTCCCTTCCTACACAGCTACAATTCATGCCGTGGACCCATCCTTTACTGTGTTTTCAGACGTCAAAATATCGTGTCCACTGTGTAAGGCACTTAAACATTTTCAATATTTTTTTCTTGTTCAACTTTTCACTTATAACTTACTCTTTATGCTGACTTCTCCCTCCAGAGGTCCCCAGATCGTGTTGTTGTACCAATTTAATATCATACCTCTGTGTTCTGAGTGTTTAATATTTTTTCTAAGAAGACTTTTTTTTTCTCCCTAATAATTAGAATTCAGGTAAAGACACACAAACGTGTCTGAGTGCTTGTGTGTGCGTGCCAATACATTTTCCTGGTCCCTCTTGCCGTCGCTGTGCTTCTCAGACCTAAGCAAGGGTTTCAGGGTTTGCTTCTACTTCTCATGGGATCTAAAACCTTGTCTCCTCATCTCTATGGACTTAAGACTGGGAGACAGAGGTGCGTGCCTCACCCATTGCCTCAGAGCAATGGGAAAACTGCTTGGGAGCTTACTAACCAAGTTTCCCAATAATGTGTGGTGTCTGGATATTTACATGGGGATGAGTTGTGTAGCTAATACCAAATCTCTAAACCTTTGTAGTAGGAAGGCTTTCATGTTATTGTATCCGTGCTGTTGCTGAAGCTATAAGATTTAAATCCAGGTTTCAATGCTCCTAGATCGGATATTAAGCTACATGAACTTCATGCATAAAGATTCTGTGGCTTGGGCCTTCTCCTAGGGAATATTTCCTTTTGCCCTATTCTCCTTTCTGCCAAGATTCCAATACTGGTGTCTTGCATTTAAACATAACGTAAGCATACTTTTTCTAAACATATGTCTGTACAGTAGATTAAAATTCATGTAGTTGGGGTGGGGCATGATTTGGCTATGCAAAGGTTGCCCTCCTCCCATGTCTGTGGTCCTGCCCTCTGCTAGAACCTTAAAGTTGTTCCACCATCCCCCGTTTCCTTCTGAGTCATCGTTCCCATCCCACGGCTATTTTAAAATCTTTCCGTTCCCCTTGCCCCTGCCCCCCACCCCTTATGGAGGATTACCTGCCCTCTATTTCCTAAAGGAAACAGAAGCCGCGAGAATAGCCTTGTAGAGTTCAACACGCCTGATTTATAAACGGGTTCCTATTGGAAAATGTCCCCATTTCCCTTCTTACTCCAAGGAAGGGAATGTTCTGTCCCTAAGGGGAGCAGCTGTATAATGTATCATGGAAGCCTAGACACTTCAGAAAGTAAAAGCAGGATTCTATTAATAATTATCCCAGGACAACAGGTGCCAACCGGAACTGTCCTGGGAAAAACAGGACGTGTGGCCGTATAAAGTTTGTAACTCCACCTGAACCCTGGATGCAATCCTGTGTGTGCCCAAGTACCATGCTCCTTTGACAGCGTCTCTCTCCTCTGTAGGGTCACTTGCCTTCTAATGACAATTTAACACGGTCAGTCTCTTTTAGCCACTCCCATTTTCGGCTCCTCACCTCCTCTTGCCGAGCTCTTTGAAAAGCTTGTCCCCCCCCCTCTACTTTTTCCAATCTGCACTTGCAGGATTCTGGATTCTTCTTCTCTCACTTCCATCCTGACACGACCCTAGATAATGTCACAGGGGACCGTCTTGTTCCTTAGTATAGGAGACAGCATTCAGCATGCCCCGGTTTCTTAGATACGTCCGTCTACGTGGCCCTATGTAAATAAGCCACCCTCGCTGTCCCTCGGTTTCCTAAAATGGCACAGTATAGGACCTTCCTGCTTTGACAAGTACTCTGAGTGTACAAGTATACAAGGGCCTCTGTGTAAAGTATTTAGATCAATGGCGCATTTTTGACCTTCTAGCTATCCATCCCTTCTGAAAGACATACGCGCACGGGACCAGCTTGAGTTTCATCAGGAACTCTGTATGTCACTTACGGTGTCTTTTGACACAGGACAGAAGGGTGATATGGCAGTTTGAGTGAGAATGACCTCATGTGCTTGGATATGTGGTCTCCAGTTGACGGAACTGTTTGGGAAGGATTACGAGGTATGGCCCTCTTGGACGGGGGTGTGCCGTTGAGGGCTGGGCTTTGAGATTTCATTCCCAGGGTGCCTTCTCTGCCTCCTACTTGTGAATCAAGAAGATGTGAGGTCTCAGCTGTGCCTTTGCTTCCTCATCATAGATGCTAACCCTCTGAAACCAGAACCAAATCAAATGCTTTCCTCTGTGAGTTGCTTAGGTCATGGCGTTTTGTCACAGTAACAGTTGCTTAACAGGGGTAGACTCTCTTTGTCCTGTCACTTTAGAGACCTCAGGCCTGAGATCGGCAATTTAGGAAGAGAGTTTTACACCACACATGACAGAGTATTTCGTTCATGTTTGCTACAGCCACTAAGACGTACTTAGTGTGCTGTATACCCAGTGCGGTGACATGCCTGGCATATCTTTTCTTGCTAGAGGCTACTAGTGTAATGCTCATCTGTGGCTAGCATGAAACTGCCTCAAATATCAGTGTGGAGTTCTGCTTCAAAAGAGCAAGCCCATAACTAACATGAAGTTACTAAGTGGTGGATGCATACGTTCATCTGTTCCAAGTGAATGTGGCCCAGCCTTGCCGTTGGCCCTCACCTCTTCAGGACCAGCAGGCATTTTGCTATCACCTTTCTATGCATTTTGAATTGTAGGTTGAGTTTAACTGACTCTTCTTTGAATAGGTCCTTTCTGAATTGTAACGTGTGTGTATGCCCAGCTCTTTGTGCAAAAGGAAATCAACTTCAACTTTCAGGAACTTCCTGAGCTAAAACAGATTGTGTGTGTGTGTGTGTGTGTGTGTGTGTGTGTGTGTTGTGTGTGTGTGTTTACATCTTAATGGCAATAAGATTATGACAGATATCATTTATGCCATGCTTATTCTGCTCTAGTAAAAGTATGCCACATTTGGGAGTATTTTGACCAGAAGCAAAGGAAGCAGAATAGACAGGAGCTAAAATGATTTTCTTACCAACTGTTAGAGAAGCTTCGAGCGTTAGCATGAGCTCTCAGCCATAATGAACTTCTATAAGCCCTCTAGTGTGTGTTAACAGTCAAGGCAACAAGCATGATCATTTCAGTGTTAGGAAGACGGAAGCCGAGTCCCATCTTTTTGATTCACAATTAAGTAGCAGAGAAAGAGAAGACCATGTAAATGGGTTCCAGTGAAGTAGTATTGGTGATAACTTTTTCAAATCCCAATTGAAGCAAATTGTTTTAATGGTTGGGAAAAATAGGAAGCTTAAGTTTGATAAGGGAGTCTTTTGTGAAATTTTATATGAATGGATAGCATTCATTCTACACCATTCTACAGAGCATTCAAAGTAATCCTGAATCTAGGCAGGAATTCAGTGCATCTGAGGTAGGTTTGTGAATTCAGTTGTATGTTTACTTAGATTTCACTGTAAAAAAAAATGTCAGGTGTATTCTAATTCTAAGAAGATTTGATAATTTAGAAGATATTAAATTATACTAACTATACTGAGAACTATACTAATATATATCTCTAACATATGCTGTTAGCTAAGACATATGATTATATATATGCATATATTATCTGCCATTTCCTAATGGAAATCATATGAGCAGTTGATGTGATGATACCGTAAAAATGTTGCCTCACCTAGAGGCAGCTATGAAAAAGGAGCTCATTAAAATGGTGAGAGAAAGGACACGGGGCTGCTCAGGAAATAAAAATAACCTTAATAAAGGCCTGAGTCACAATGGAAATTACAGGAAAGGATAGACTTTGGCCAAAGCAGAATGGGGTGGCTCAGAGATCTGGGATCCTTCAAAATCCTTGTTGATTTAATCACTGTTTCTGTTTGTATGTCTAGTCCAACATTTCAACAGTCAGAAAAGGAAAATAAAAGCAGAGAAATCTATAGCCATCGTCTGCGAAGTACATTCAAGGCCAGACTTCGGGATATTATCAATTCCTTGTTAATTCCTTAAGACTTGATTTTACATAGGAGAAAAAAAAAGTCAGAGCTCTTGAATCCATGACTCCGAACAGAAAGAGTTAGGAAGGATTTCACATGTGAGGGTCTCACAGGATACAGGTCTCCTGGCAGTTCCTTCCTGCCCCCCCCCCATTTATTGAAAATAGGTTTGTTTGTTTTTTACCTCACATAATACATCTTGATTACAGTTTCCCTGCCCTCCACTCCTCCCATTCCTCCTCCCCTCCCCTCCCATCCGGTTCCCAGTTCTTAGTTTTAAACCAAATGTTTAGGTAAAGAACCAGATGGATAGGGAATAGAACACTAAAATTTGTTTGGATTCTGCTTTCTCAGTAAAGATCTTTCCCACCGGCTTATTGAGTTAACTAATGAGAAAAAAAATCTCTTTGACAAGTAATTGCTATGTTCAGACCGTGGCTGCACGATTCACAGAATTAAGACCATGTTTTATATGTTTGATTCATTATCTCATTTTTCTCATATTTTTTGTGAAGCTATGATTTGAAAAAGATTTTTCCATCTTCTAATTTTTTTTTTAGAAATCAATCCAAATGCACTAGAAGACAAAATTACTGTCTCCATACTTACAAGTAAGGAAATTACCCAAGCCAAAAGGACGCACTAAGATGGTGCCATATTGTTTCATCATTATCACAAATTTTGTTTGCTGCAATGGCCACACTCTCAGCACTGTGGCCGACAGACAGAATCTTGCCTCTTAGGCTAAGGATTTGTCTTCTGACGACTTTGTTTCCAGGGCCTTGCCCTCAGAGCTGAGGAACCACGGCTGCCCATCCTTCTCAGCCCCAGGCAGAGCCTTCCCGGCAGACTGACAGATCGTGCTGCCTCTTACCCTCAACTTCCAGCTTCACCAGTTTGGAATAAGCCGTGCCCAGGCTGTTTTTGGCCACACATCGGTACTGTCCTGCATCTTCCTTCTGTACATTGTGGATCCTTAAACTCCCAGATTCAAGAACTGCAATGCGGGAGTTTTCCTGCCAAAGACAGGGACGTGGGTATGAAAACGGCCTTAGTTGAACACACACTTGCCCTCTTTCATTGGCTTATCACTGTCTTTAACACCCAAAATATGAGCCTCTATGCATATCAACACATGTTACCGAGACCATGCAAGACGATCTAAATTAACCATCTTGGTGATCTCCCATCTATTCTTTTCTTCCCCTCCTCTCATTAAAATACGACACGAATCACGAGTTCTAAAAGTCACGCTTGTGCTGGTTTGATTAAAAGCATTGTGCTTTGGGGCTGGATGTGTAGCTCAGCGGTGGAAAATGTGTGCTTACCACACACACAGCCCTGGTTTCGCCCCCAGAATAAAAACACAAAGCAAGGGGAAAATGTAAAACATTGATTCCAGGTACCACACTTTACCATGTACCCTGAAGGTAGCCTTAGGAGAATGCACCTTCTTTGAGAATTTTAAAATGACTCTTTGGAGTTCAGATGTGACATTTCTCCTCTCTCTCTCTCTCTCTCTCTCTCTCTCTCTCTCTCTCTCTCTCTCTCTCTCTCTCTCTCTTTAATTCACTGTAACTTGAGTAAGGTGCACAGTCAGTCGTCTTTGCTTTTTATTGTAGGAAAATGCATCGAGAGTCATAACAAAAGGCAAGCCAGGGTGTGTAAAAAATTGTCATTAAAGTTAGCCAAGCTCATCAGATTGGTAGTTTGTTTCAGTGACTTGACATGCCCTGATAAGTGTGCGTTATTTCACATGGAGTGCGCACGGCCTGGGAAGATGGGAGCAGAGTCTACAATCTCCTTTCCAGGTGAGACAAAGATGTGGATATAGTCATGGCGCAGAATAGCTGTTTGTGAGTAAGCATGGAGATGATACACAGGAGCGGTACAAGCTAAGCCAATGAATAGCACATCTTTTGTATGTTGTGTGTGCGCATGTGCACACGTATGCGTGCGTGAGTGTGTGTGTGTGCATGTGTGTGTGTGTGTGTACATGTGTGTGTGGTATATCTACATGCCCATGTGGGTGTGTGCATCCATGTGCATGTATGTGACAAGAGGTGGACTTTGGATGTCCTGGTCTGTTTGTCCTCTATTTTATTACCTTGAACCAAGGTCTTCACTGGCAGCCAGCAAGCCCCACAACCTTCCTATCTCCTCCTCCCAAAGCGCCCGGCTTACAGACACACATAAATGTGGATGGAATCAGCTCTGGTTCTCACGCACAGCAAGCACTCTGCCCCATGAAACCACCTCTTAAGCCCAAATGGCATAGCTTTAATCTAACTTCTCTTCGTTACTGAGATGTGTTTGTCTCTGTTTATCATTCCGAGTCCCCTTGCTCTAATTTCTCACCTTCGTTCAGCTTTGTTATCCCTAAAGTCCCAAACATTTGATGTTAAAAAATAATAGTAATTCTTAATAAATGGTTCAGCCGAGTAAGAAAACAAGCCTTGCTTTGCTTGGGCTCTGCACCCGTTTCCTCTCTAATGTTGCTGACTTCTGTCTCTTCTGTCTCCAAGACAGTCCATGCTGGAATGCCCTAGCCTGAGTGTGCTTAATTAGTAATCCAAGAATTTAAGTTAGGCTAATGTGTATGGAGAAAAACATACACCAGAAGTTTGCTAGCGTGTTAGTAGATGCTCAGAGATAATCGTATTTAAAACATGACGTATACTGGTTGGAAAGAGAGCTCAGCCATTAAGAGTGCATGCTGTTCTTGCAGAGAACTGGAGATGAGTTCCCAGACTCACACTGGGTGGCTCACACTGTCTGAAATTCCAGTTCCAAAAGATCTGATACTCTTTTCTGGCCTCCACGGATACCCATATCTATAACCCCCCATACACACACAGGCATGCACGCATGCACACACACACACACACACACACACACACACAAATACACGTAAAACATAAATCTTTAAAGATTATATTTACGCACAGATTTTAACACAAAAGTCACTTACCCTGAGAGCACTGTCCCCTTTGATCCAGGAGACAGATGGCTTGGGGTTGCCCATTGTCGTGCATGGTAGAACAGCTTTCAATCCCTCTATTATTTTTACATTAATGGGAGGGCGAGTTATTTTAGGTTCTGTGGGGAAAATGAAAAATCAAACGTAAAAACACAATGTATCTACACTAAAATTGTAGTTTTAGCTTTCTAGTTCATTATTGGCTTTCATTTCAAGAATCATCTTAGGGATCTTAAATTGCCAAAGGCTAAGATGGGTCATTAGTAGGTATCAAATGGAAATCAATCTTAAAGGATGGTTAGATCTGCCTTGCTAAAACCTCTATTTTCTTTTGCAAAACTCATATTTATAAAGCATACTAGATACCTGAAATTTCTTAGTACTTCTTATTTTAAATGACACTCAATAATAAAAAGTTCACTATAAACTGTCCCCATAACAATTCAACATTGTGTAATTTATACCAATAGATGTGAAACAGTTGAAAGTTGTCCTAAGTTAATCGTATCATTTTGAATTACAATCTACTTTCCCTTTAGTTTCCATCATTTATTTACTTATTTGTTTAATTTTTTCTGAGATAAAGTCTCATTGCATAGCTCTAGACGACCCTGAACTCAGTGTATTGACAAGGCCTTGAATTTGAGGTGATCCTTCTGTCTCTGCTTCCCTAGTGCTGATACTACATTTGTTTCCAGGTCTAGTTCCCATCTTCCTTTGGCTATTGAATGCATTGTTTCCTCTACAAAGCAAGCTGGTAACTAGAAAAAAACTCTGACACAGTTTGGAGACTCAAAATTCTACAAAGAGTAGTTTACTGTTCTGCCAGCACTCAGACCAATGTTTCTGAAGACGTGGATGATAATTGGTTCATTTCTATTCCCAACTATGAAGCTTTGAAAGGAAGCTATTAAATCTAACATGTAGAACTGAGACCTTTAAATGCCTCCAAGCAATCAGAAAGTAACTAAGCTACCTCATGTCCCTAGTGATCTTATATTGTAGATACTGAAGAATCAGAAAGTAACTAAACTACCTTGTGTCCCTAATGATATTATACTGTAGATACAGAACAGAGAGATGTCTTTGTGGGACAGATTTCTGAGACATATGTGTGTGTGTGTGTGCACACACAGTAGACTACCTTGATAGAGGTAAGCAAGGAATAAAGACTTTTCCTTTTCCTTATATGTGAGTATGTGAGAGTGTTGTGGAGCATTTTTTGTGCCAACTGTCATTCATATCTACAAAGGTTAAATGCCTGTTGGTTTTGAACCCAGGCATTTATTTTCCCCTTACAGTCGATATGATTCTACATTGCAAAAGCACAAGACAGACTTAAAATATTACATAAGAAAACGTCAAAGCTTGGCCGTTCTGCTCTGTTCTAGAATTTATAGTTCTGTTTTATATTCACAGGAGGGAACACTTAAACTTCAGCGACTTACTGGGCACCTCAGCTGTGGGCTGTAGTGTTGTACACTGTCTGCAAAGCCTTGGTTTGGGAGTTGATATTCTTATTGCTGCCAAAGAGAAGTTTCCAATATTCCTTTGGTTGACTTCCATGAACAAGACCCCCACAGTGAACCTGAGTCACAGATATTTCATGTGGGAGATTCAAGGAACTATCTGCTGTATTGAGGAGTTAACTCCTGGCTAAGGAAGCAGCTGTCTTGGTCACCTGTGCGGTGGAATGTAAGGAGAATCTTTGGAAAACTAAAAAGTAAGCGATGGCAGAAGCATGGAGCCTCCTGCTAAGGGATCATGACTCATTGTTGAGCACATCAGAAATGGGCAGTTTACTGAAGCAAAGTCCTGGTGGTACCCTGCTGAGGCAGCATGAGCCCTAGGTCGAACGTTTGGTTTCAAAGGAGACGTTCTAAGGGGGAAGAGTGTGGTTGGAATCATTGTGGAGATTAGGAATTTTTTCCAAAAACTTAACAATTGGAATGGTCATGCTAACAAACACACACACAAACAGACATAAACCTTCCTAAGGTGAAGATGGAGCCAGGGAAGGAAGAGAGAGATGAGAGGATTTGGTGTAGAACGAAGCTAAAAAAAAAAATGGGGTTGAGAAAAAAAAAACAACATACAAAGAAAACTAGAAGAGTGAACTACTGAAATGGGTCTATTTCCCCCCTCCAGGTGGGGACCCTGGAGCATCCTCCATTTAAGCGGGAAGCCACTCAGAAGAAAATAAATGTGCAAAAGGCCGAGAGATTAAAAAAAGAAGGGGGGGGTGTTGGCTGTAATGGAACTAAGCTTCTCAAATGCACAGTGAGAGCTGGTCAGGTGACTCAGTAGTTGAGAGCATGGTCTCCTCTTCCAGGGGACCAGGGTTTGGTTCCCAGCACCCACATCAGGTGGCACACAGCCTCCTGTGACTCCAGCTCCAAGGGATCTGGTGCCCTCTTTTGGTCTCGGTGGGTACCCGAACACATGCACAATACATCCATAAATTCTTTAAAAAATGTAAAAACTGAAGCTTTAAAAATGCGCAGTGACTTCAGAAAGAAGTTCCCAAATATAATCAAGAGCTGTGTGAAGACCAAAAACGAGGCAGGAGAGGAGAGAGGGCCAAAGGGTTGCCTTGAGGTGGTAGTTGTGGCAGGAGTGAGGGTTGGCCCTGGAACCTGTCTGTGTCTTATACTTGAGCTGGTGTCATTGCTGAACTTCAGGGGTGGGGAGTGTTGTGTTTCGTGCCGGCTACAAACTGTGTGGAAACAACTCTAAAGTTGGACGATGCTCTTCCCTACTCACTCATCTTCACTTGAAGAGCGCCACAGCTCTCCACGGCTCCTCCCACTCCATTGTTGGCTATGCAGCAATAGATGCCATCGTCGCTGTCCTCCACGCTCAGGATGGTGAGGAGCTGACCGTTCTCCCGGATGCTGTAGCGGGTGTCAAACAGCCTGCAGGTCACAGAGCAAAGAGGAGGATCAGTGTACCATCTGTGATTTTACACACATAGACACACACACACACAAATGGACACACACACATACACACACACATAGACACAGATACACACACAGACAAATGGACACACACACAGACAAATAGACACACACACACACACAAATGGACACACACACACATAGACACAGACACACACACATAGACACAGACACACACACACACACACAGACACAGATACACACACAGACATACACACATAGACACATGTACACAGTCCCACACACAGACTCACAGACACAGATACACAGACACACACACACAGACACAGATACATACATAGACATACACACATAGACACATGTACACAGTCCCACACACAGACTCACAGACACAGACACAGAAACACAGACACACACATACAGACACAGATACACACACAGACATACACACATAGACACATGTACACAGTCACACACAGACTCACAGACACAGACACACACACACACATAGACACACACACACACACCTTTGGTTAACAGATCAAACGGATGACCAGTCAGTGAGGAAGCAGGTACAGGGCTAGAAAGGGTTAGAGTCAATGTGCGTTTTGCAAGACCCAATAGTCTTGCTTTAGTACAGTAAAAATGAAGCTGTATTCCGGTCTCTCTGGGCTCTGTAATCAAAGCACCACGGAGCTGTACAAAACAGTTCTGAGGTGATGGATGCTGCTAAGCACAAGCGTAGCATTTACACAGGAAAGTGTGTGCCTGTGTGTGCCTGAATGCCATTCTGAACTTGAGACATATGTAAGACTGTCTGACCAGCAAGTCCCAAGGATCTGCTGGTCTCCCCGCCCCCACCTAGAGGTGGGATTGCAAGCACCCATTACCACATTCAACTTTCCTTTTGAGTATGTATATTATGGGGGTTGAACTCAGGTCCCCCCCCACAGGCTGGGAAAGTATACCATAACTAAGATGTATGAGTCTTTTCGCACAAGGAAAAAACTGGAAAAGGAGCATGTGTGTCATTGCAATAAACAGAAAGTACTAAATATTTATAGATATCAGTAGCAATGAGTTGGATATTCATTTATTCATTAAATGAGTACTTTCCATTCTTTTCTCAGTTTTTACTTTCATTGCATTTTCTATTTCATGTGCACGAGTGTTTTTCCTGCATTATATCTGTGCACTATATGCATGCCTGGTGCCTGCAGAAGCCAGGAGAGGGTGTCATAAATACTGTAGTATGTTTTAATAAATGTGAACGGGAGCAATGAGTTTATAATTAACTAAATAAAATGCAACAAAATCTTACTTTCATTTTGTTGAAGCCACTAATGACTGAATAAATACGTTACGTAGAACCACACCAATTACCTTTGTGTTTGTAAGTTGTACTCATTCTGTATGCTTTATGAATGTATGCTAATTCTACAGAACAAAAGGTTCCGTTAGGACACTCCCACACATGCATATAGCAAACTTTGATTACCCTAGTTATTGTTTCTCCCTTCCCTCCATCCTCTCCAAAACTCTAGTGCTTCCCCTTTTTATAAACAAATAGCTTTTGGATGTTTAAGAAGTGACAGGCACTTCTCTGCCTCTGGTTTAAGGTGCACGAAGAAATAAAAGATCTCCAAACTTAAAAAAAAAACATGTTGTGTGTGTTTGCATGTATGTACATACGTAGTCTATTTAATTACACACAATTGTCCACTAAGAAGGGACTCAGGACAGCGGGAAGAAGTTGAAGTGGAGTGAGTCATCAACCTAAAAACAAGTGGCTTCCGTTGTTGGATGTTTTACCTTTTTTTTTTAAATGTCTGTTTTATAGTAGGGACTCTCATACTAAATGTATATGGTACGGCCGAATGACAGTCTCCAAAGACCCACCATGTCTTAATCACCAGGGCCTGTGGTACACTGCAAGGGGGATTTGAACACATTAAGAGTCTTAAATTGGAACGCGCTAGATTGTCCACGTGGGCCAAATGTAGGAACAAAGGTCCTTCTGAGGTGGGAAAGAGAATGAGGAGGGTCAGAGGCAGAGGTCTGACACGCAGAAATCAGAGTCACGTGGCTGTTGGCCTTACGAACAGGGGGAGGGACCAGAGGACACAGGTGGCCTGCGGGCTCTCAGAAGCCAGATCCATGACTGTGCCGTGGAGCTTTCCGGGAAGAGCTGGAGCCGCCAGGGCATTGACTTTAGCTTGGTGACTGCAAACTAATGGGTGTGCCGTTTGAGGCCACTGCATTCGTGACCACTAGTGACTGTCTCGTTAGAAAATAAATACAAAAAAAAAAAATACAAGTGCTGGTACCCGGACAGAGGATTGGAAATGGAGGCGTGGCTTTGCAGTGAGCTAGTGGGGATTTTGAGCAGCATGACAAGAAACAAAACAAAAACCCGCTTAGGTTCCTTTTTTGTTGTTGTTTTTGTTTTTGTTTTGAAGAGAACTGTCAGCGGAAACACACTTGTTAATGATAGCTACTGGGGTCTTAGAAACAGCTTAAGAGACATGGGGGGGGGTAGAGTGCGGAGTCATCTCAGAGAATGCCGAAGCAGTCACGACCTGACAGCTGACTCAGAGGGACTGTTGATAAAAATATGAATGTGAAGACCTCTACTTCTGGAGGCTAAGGCAGAACAAGGGGCCCGTTACCTGGGAAAAAAAAAACAGCAACAAAAAAGAAAAAAAAATTAAAGAAAGGCAATCCTTGCCAGAGTAGCAGAGAACTCAGCCAAATGATGCCTCACACTTATTTCAAATTCAGATCTTATGAACAGTGGGCTCATGTTTAGCCAGGGAAGTTTCCAGACACACTATTGAGGCTACAGCCCAGTGGTCTTTGGAAGCTTGTTGTAAAATTCAAGAGGAGAAAGGTGGCCTGGAACACTGTTGGGTCTGGAAAGCTGGCTCAGGGGTTAAGAACACTGGCTCTTGCAGGGGTCCTAGATTTGGGTTTGGTTCCCAGAAGCCACAACTATATGTAACTCCAATTCTAGGGAACTCAGCACCCTTTTCTGGGCATGCACAAAATGTGCATACATGAAGAAAGTAAAATACTCATACATGTAAAACAAAACTAAGATAAATCTTCCAAAGACTGTCCATTAAAAAAAAGAAGGAAAAATACTGCCATGAAATTTTGGCTTCATGAGTTGGAAGATCTCAATCTATCCAAATTTCAAAGGGTGTTGAGGATGTTTTCTGGTGTTTGAACTGTGTGGGAGAGCTGTTCAGTCCTGGAGCTTCTGAGAGAGCTTGTCTGGCAGAGATCACTAAGGCTGTGGTGCCACAATGGTGCCCACAGCACTTGAGAGTGTGTGTGTGTTTGTCACAGAAGGGAACATGACACTTCAGTCAGAGGCAGTGGAAATAACGCCTGTCCTTTCTCCCCTTCCGGTGCGTGGGTCCCCGTCTACGGGCACCCCGTTTAAGGACGTGGATGAAATGTGACATTCCCTCCACCCCCCGAATTCATGTGTGGAAGCCAAGTGTCAGATGTTGATGGCTTTTGAGATGTGGTCTTTGGAAGGTGACTATGTCTCGTGTGACTGGATCTCTTGTGGGTATGACCTGTGTCCCTACAGAAGAGAGCGAAGAGAGTCCCTCCATGCCCTTCCCTCAGAGACAGTGGGAAATGTGGCCGTCTGCGAATGCAAAAGGAAGCCCTCATCCATTGACCGTTCACGGAATCTTCCGGCCCCTTGAACTTGGAACTCCTCAGTCCCTGAGGCTGTGAGGACTAATTTTCTGTTGTTCATATGCCCCAGTCTTAACAGTTCTGTCACTGTAACAGTAGCTCATGTGGACTGAGAGCCTTCCGCTTCAACATTGCCTGCTACAGCGCCCTCTGGCTCACTTTGTTATAGATTTTTTTTAGAGTATTTTCAGTGGGATAGCTATTGTGATAAGGGGAGAAAAGCAGACCCTTTATCTGCCAAAATGGGCCTTTTTATCCATTCTGAGACTCTGTCTCATTTTGAAAGAAAAAGATGACAGTGACACAGAAGTCAGATTCTCCGACCATAGATTTCACAGTTTGGGGATGTGGAGGGGACAGCAGGCTGGCCCCCTCAGCTCCTCTGTGTGTCCTGGGATACATCTTCAGACTTAGAATGCCATGGTACTTCCTGGTTCTGTTAAGCTCCAGGATTCTCACTTGGCGTTCGCCCACATCAGATGAATCAGTGCTTTGCCCCGGACCTCAGATCTTCCGATTTACGAAATGAGCATTACGTATTCTAGAAGGTGACTTTCAGTGACGCCAACAGCACGGGTGCGTTTGCATGGGTGGGGACCTGTGAGGCAGAGCTGGCATCCTTGGCACGGTAACACGCACAGTAACACACAGTACTCACTTAATGAGGATTTTATTTCTGGTCCAAGAAATCTCGGGCTGAGGGTAGGATTCCACGGCACACATGAAAGTTGCCACTTCTTCAACTAAAGCGTCTACGGTTTCGAGAGGCGTGGTGATGACAGGAGCTAAACAGAGGAAAAACAAGGGAGAACTCTCCAGAATTTTATTCATGACTCGCCCTTCAGCAGTCAGAATCCATGACCTACCTGAGTGAGAATTACGGTTCAAAAGCCCACTAGACATGGGATGACCTGTGTGTAAAGTCAGTGCTCCAGAGGAGACGGCAGATTCTCCACTGACTAGACTAGCTGTGTCAGCAAGAGACCCTGCTGTCAGCTAATACAGTGGGGAGAAACCAAGGGGGCCACTTCATGTCAGTCTCTGATCTCCACACATGTTGGGGCCTAGCCCCCACAAGGTCTCTGAGTTGTTTGTCAGCTGATAGCCACAGGTGCATCCTGTTTTCTAGTCCTGGCTTACTGCCCCTGCATTGCCCCACTGACATCAACATCTAGCAGGAGGAAAACACGCTCTCTTCCACCTGGGGTTTTTCTACAGTGTTGTAAGACTATATATAAGACTGCTCCCTCCTACAAGAGAGAGACCTCTTAGCACTTGCAAACTAAAGACACGTCTTAGTACAAACAGCTGGACATCTGGTCTTTCTTTTCCTGATACCTCGGAGTTGCTTGTGGCACGGGCCCCGCACACACATACGTGTGTGCAGATGTGAAGACATTCACCAAGCCACAGAAAAATGCACAAGCAAAAAATTTTTGAAAGAAATGATAGATAAGGACCCTGTGCATTGTGGGTAGCAGTTGAAATGATGACCACTGGGGGAAAAGAGAATGGAGATTCCCCAGAAAGAAATCAAAAGAGAATCTGATCAACAGTTCTGCTTCCAGGTACACATTCAAGAGAGCTGAAAGTAAGGACACAGATACTCAAATATTTCCACCCCTCTACTTATAGCAACACTGCTCATACTAGCCAGAAGATGGAAGCTGCCTAAGTGCCCGCCAACAGATGAATAAACAAGATTAACACACATATACGATGGAGTATTATTTAGCAATGAAAATTTATGGTTAGGTTATATAAATTCCTTTTTTTGTTGTTTTTAGGAGACAGGGTTTCTCTGTATTGTTTTGGAGGCTGTCGGTCCAGCCCACCTCGAACTCACAGAGATCCGCTTGCCTCTGCCTCCCGAGTGCTGGGATTAAAGGCGTGCGGCACCACCGCCCAGCGGTTATATAAATTCTTAATACAAGTAATGTTTAAAAATCAGTTACTTCTAGGCTGCAGAGATGTCTTGAGTTTATCTCCCTAGGGCCTATGTGAAACACAGAAGCACATGCCTGTAATCCCAGCCTTAAGGGAGGCAGAGACGGGAGGGTCCCCGAGGCTTACTGGCCAGCCAGTCTAGCTGAATTAGTGAGCTGCAGACTTAGTATGTGCCGAAACATAGGACAGAGAGCAGCCAAGAAAGACATCTGGACACCCCCACCACACACACACACACACACACACACACACACACACACACACACACACACACACCGATTGCTTTTTAACTACACTCTATGCTCTGGGGGGTGCTTTGATGATGAAAACGGCCTACAACAGTACTGTGCGTGCTGATGCTTGACTGTCTCCAGGATTTGTTGATGGTTTAAAACTGGATTTTTTTTCTTCTCAGAAAGCTGGATGTTAACTATACTTCAGAACATTGTCTGATAAACAGGGCAGGATGTGATCATTGCAAATTAGTACTTGGGAGTGTAGCAATGACAAAAAAAAAAAAAAAGAGGGCTTGCAGCGGGTTTTCGTGAAAGGTAAACACACCAGGCAGCAGAGCAACACAGAAGGAGACAACACGGTGTGTCAACAGTTTTGGAGGCAGAAGCAGCCTTTTTCTGTTTTGTCTGCTTCGTCTTTTCAAAACAAATCTAACTACCATGTACTGTGTTTTATTTTTAAAATGGATTTATCCAGCAGTTTCTTTCACTCCACACAGACACAGATGTGGCGGTGATGGTAATACACATTCTGCTGGGAACAGTTAAGATCAAAGAAGTAAGAGACAGTCCTCAAAATCTTGAAAATCTTAGACACGGAGAAATACATGAAGCGTCACTGAGAGCAGTGTCAACATCTTCCTGCAACGTACAATGATGTGAATCTTGGATGATGCATGACTCTCTGGTTTTAGTAGTATTAGTACCTGAAATGGTTTAATAACCTTCTGTGTGCTCCATCTCAGGCCTCATCTTCATTATCTTATTTATAAAAAAAATAAGAGGCAAATACAATGAAGCATTTGCAAACTAGACATCGTTTTTATAACCATCCCAAAGGCAGGAGGTGGTAGAGATGAATTTCGGGGCCAAGGGTGGCTTAGAGGCCCTGTGTCTTGGGATTGCAGTAGTGACTTGGTGGGTAAAGTCCTTGATGCGGGACAAACAAGAGATCACCACATACGTGCCTTGGCTTACACATGCCTACACTTACACATGAAAGCACACACACACACACACAGAGAGAGAGAGAGCGAGAGAGAGAGAGAGAGAGAGAGAGAGAGAGAGAGAGAGAGCCTATCTGCCTATCTCTGAACTCTAGAAAGGACTGAGTCTTATAGCCATGGGAGGTTTAGACCAGCATTAATTTCTGGGGGCAGAACTAAGGCTTCAGATCCATTTTGCCCATCTTCCAGAGTTATCCTAATTCTCTTTGAAGCGCTCACTGACACCTTCGGATAGCTGCACCAAAAGGCTATGGTCGACTCAGCAGGTCACTTCCTGTTGGCTCTCGTCCCAGCCAGAGCCTGTGTAAACTGGACCTCTGTCTTTTCTCCCCATCCAAGAACCACACCAACAACAAACACATGAGGATGAACACAGCAGTTTTTCAGATCCACAGAAAACTTGCCTTGAAGTCTTGTAATTCTACCTTCCTTTGTCTTTTGTGGGCTTTAGAACATGACATTGACACACACCGACTTCTGGCTGAACCATTACTAAAGAACTTGTCCACGTGCAAAGAAGCCAGGTGCATTGTTTGGTTTTTTTTTTTTTTTTGCTTTGCTTTATCTTGTTTTATGTTTTTGTTTTTGTTTTAAGAAAAGTGGTAGCCAGGAGGTCACATCTTTAATCTCAACATTCGGAGGCAGAGGCAGGTGGATCTCTGAGTTCAAGGCCAGCCTGGTCTACAAAGTGAGTTCCAGGACAACCAAAGCTGTTACATAAGAAGCACTGTCTCAAAAACCAAACAAACAAAAAAATGATACTGAGACCTTAAAAATTCATGTTTTTCTAATCATTATCAATATAGCATTGGTTCTTTTATTTCCTGACTAAGAAAACACTTAGATATTGGAAATTCTTCAGATTCTCCAAAAAGAATAGTAGGTAGTTGGACATTGTCTGACATATCCTAATAGCTGGCTCATTTAATGGCAGTGGAATGAAAATATTTTGGCATGATGTCTTTGTAACTTGCCAGATTAACCTAGAACAACACTCAACCATTTTCAAAGCTGTCACTAATTCCTTGAAACTGAGTGTATTGCCCCCATCTGGGATGGACCTTCCACAGGAGTTCCGTGGAGCCTTCGAGAATGTCTGAGTTTGCATCCCTTGGGGGGGTTCCTCTGGGTTAAGCCACCATCCTGTAAGGACACAAGCAAAACATGCTACCTATTGCCCTTACACCCACCATGGGGAACCCTCAGTGTGACACCGGATGACGGCATTGACTCATCCACGAGGAAACTGAGGCAGAGACTATGTGCTTTCTTTAAAGATACACAGCAAGATGCCGGCGACAGGAAAGAGGAAGTTAGCTGTAACACCTACTCAAAGCCTTCCACATCCTTGCTTCCCATTCTCCGTTGTCTCCCTTCTGATATTTCCACATAAGCCCAGAATCTGTAGCCTCAAGTTCTTCAGCTGCACGGCCCCTGAAAGGCACTGATCCTGAATTAATCGGAACCCTTGCCCTCACTACCCCTATGTGCATGTAGGGCTTGTTGGCCGCGGAATCACTCTTAAACTGTCATCTGCAGCCCTGCCATGCTGCTATATGCTCTACCAGGTCTGTGCACTTCTGTCATAAAGGACCCGTCCAGGGATGTCCCCTTCACTCCTCCTCGGTAGCCTCGAGTCCTACTCCCCCTTTAGAGATATTAGGGAAATTTCCAGCCTTTTCTTCCCATCCTTCTCAACGGTGAGAGCAGCGACGGAAAAGCAACTGTGCTCTCCTACACGTATGGTGAGTAACTGGCAACGAGCGTCGTTATGAAAACGCTCACCCAGGACTAGCTGTCCTGGGTGGAGTTCCCAACAGCTGTGTCAGCTCTGACTGAATCATAAGGAGAATCTGCGAATCTTATCCCTGCACACATGGGATTTAAACGGTAGGGCTTCTCTGCTATATCTAAAGAGAAACCAGATATTAGACACTCTAGGTTTGGTAGTAAATGGGTCATTTTGAAGGTGGAGTTTTGTAAGGAAGTCCTTGTGCGTATTAAGTAACTCCAATTCTGCCCACATGAATTTGGGTTCTCACGGAATTTTTAATGCCCCACCGTATGTTTGACACGCCCTGATAAATCAGCAAGTGCTCTTGAGACTGATGGCTGAGGAAATTCAACAAACTGTTTTCACTTTCATCCATGACGATCTCTAAAAGTCTCCCACTTGAGGTGGGGAAATTTAGCTCACTAAAAATAATAATAATAATAATCTCTCTTATAAAATAAGATTGTTTCTAATTTAAATAAAACTTTATATTAAAAAATCTCACCAGCTGAGCTGATCTTGAAAGACAATGAGCTTTTAGCATTGGAATGTTAGGCATTTCAATGAATTCAAAGCTTAAGTAGTAAACTATTCATCTCCAAAGTCGGATAATCTAATATTAAAAAAAAAAACAATGTACAGAGGGGGAGACATGATTCCTGTGAGCATCCTCCCATTGTCAGTACCTCGGTTCTGAAGCTGCCTGCTACACTGCACGAGAGGGTTCGCTCTGTGAGACATCACTGCACAGGACCCTTGGTTTCAGTCTAGGCAAGCAACCCTCTAACAGAGTTCCCCATTATCTTCTGACGGCTACCGAGAACCGCTGTGAGTGTAAGCCAGGACACATTCACCATTTTCACTGATAATTAAGAGAACATACACTCAAACAGCTCTTTTCTGTCAAAATAGGTCGCATATTACAACATTAAAACCTTGAGGATTTCACGTCTCGTGACATTACTTACTTTGAGAGTTCGTCTTGTACACTGAGCGGATGTCTAATCACCTAGGGGTGGTGTGTGGTGATGAGGCCAACGTGAACCCGGTGCTAATTTCAAGTTTTACAATAAACAGAGTAGGCTAAGAAACTACTGTTTTAGCTTTAAAATTTGCAGCAGACACACGGCAATAAAGCCAAATTGGAAGGACGCTCTGGTGGTTTTCTTTAAAAGTGGGATACTTGGTATCCTGAATGCCACCCTGTGCCACGATTCTGAAGTTTGCAAAGCAGAGACGGATGGTCATATTCATTTGAATGAAGGTTTATGATGACTGGGGACTTAAAAAGAAATAAGGATCATTTTTATCCAGAGTCTAAGTTAGTATACAAATACAGAGGTGTTTTGTTGTTATTGTTTTGTGTACCCAGGTTTGACTTAGAACTTCAAAGCAGCTGCCTTCTTTACGCGTTTGGGTTTAACTGTACCCTCCTCACTTGTGGGTCACTGCTTGGTAAAGATTAAAATGAACAAGTCCCACTAGGATCCATAGGTCCCAACAACCAGGTGTTATCCTACCGGACATCCGTGGTCGGATCAGGAAGTGTTAGAATAACCTGCAGCCAATGTTAAGTCCTTTTGGCTATTATCAGCTATCCAGATTCTTTCTTATCTAAAGGCACCTTAAAGTATCATTGGGATGTCAATGATTCAACACATTAGAAGATACCAACCACTTTGCCCAAGTAAAATGGAGAAAGAGAAGCAAGTAAATAAACAAGAAAATAAATCCATGTAATCGGATCAGAAAGAATGCTGTCTGTTACTTACATGGGATCCTTGACTATTTGCCTCCAGAACTGTAAATGAACTACAAAACCTAAAGACATGCTTCCCATGTACATACAAACGCCACCTTCACTAATTATTAAAGATAAACATTTTCAGTGCTTCGGCAACCCGGCTGGAAATGGGTGATAATTCATCTGACTAAAACCCAGCACTCTTCATAACTCTGTCATAAGACCCTTAATACAATGCTATTTGATGACATTAAGTCTACTTCTTCATGCCTTGCTTTGAGAAGATTTCGGCGAAGACCCAGTAGCTTTGCAAATCACACATTTTCCACTCTTCCTGGTTCTAACTTTCGTAATACTCTGGCCAGAACCCACAGTGCTGTGGACAGTCTTGCTGCTGCAACAGGTGTTTGTCACTTTCTTAAGTTGCTTTCCCCCTTAGGTGGTGTTATTTCCGGTACATTCCGAAGCACTGAAAAAAAAAAACTAGTGCAATCTCTGGTCAAACCCAAATCACAGCGCCAGCAGCCAAAGTACAGAGAGTCAGATGTTTCCAGGCTTTTATTCCATAGGCACTCTCTGTGTGTCTCTCCCGAGGTCTGATTTCTAGCTACTAACACGCTCATTAACGGTTTGATAAAAGCTAAAACCGAAAATAGAAATGGCTTTTTACTTGGGACCAAAGCGCTGGATATCTGGAAGTGAGACGGATTATATTCTTGGCAAACCCAGCGTGGGATGGTTTTCATCACCCGTGTAGACCACCCCAACATTCCGACATACACAGAAACAGAGCAGACCTCTGTAATTCACAGTCTACCTGGCAACGTCTCCCTAGAAGAGAGGGCTCTGCGCGCATCAGGCTGCTTTCAATCGCAGAGCTTAGAAGACAGCCATCATGGGAGAAGAACCAGCCATTCTCTTCTTTTTCTACACACATACACACACACACACACACACACACACACACACACACACACACACACACAGTTCCTGCCCCCGCATCACCCAAGCACACCCCCAGTACTGATCAGCCGGCCATGAAGCTCACCCTCACTATTTGGGCAAGGTTGCGCATACCAACCTTTCGGAAGTTTCTCAGTCCCGCTGAAGGCAACCAGGGTGAGAATCTGTAGCAGTGGAATGTTGACGAGCTCTCTCATGGTTAATCCAGGCTCGGGGGAGCAAAGGTGGCTTCTGGACTGTTGAGGAAAATTCTCCGTGGTTTACATCTTAGAGCATGGTTTGTTGCAACAGGGTCGTCTGCGAGGGACTGTTTGTGTCTGCGGCGCCACAGGCTCTGAGTGTAATCGGGAGCCCTCGGGCCTGACTATGATGATGGACGTGGCCAGCTGGGAGTATCCACTTAGGCCAGTAACGCAAGTGGAGGACTGCAGGGAACAAGGGAAAGAAAATCCCTTCAGAATCCCTTTTAAGACAGTGGCAGAGGGACAATACCAGATGCCATCTGTGGCCGATATAGTTTTCCCTGAGCTACAGCGTTCCTAATGTGATTTTTGGGTCCACCACTTCTCCTGCACTCAAATGAGGAATCCGGATCAAACTAATTTTGACTCCTCTCCGTCTCTTGCCCGACTCCCCCATCCCACAGCCAGCCCAGCCCAGCTGCTCCAGATTTCACCCGCCCCCCCCCACTCCTTGAATTCTTCTCCTGTTGTCCCTGGTAGCACTATGATGTGACCTAACCTGGTTCTCACAGTCCTTAGAGTCTTGTACCATCCACCTTGGGTATCTTATCGCGAGATCTCCCCTTCTTGCCCCCAAGTCTGTAGAGATTTCTTGTCATGTCAAAATGCATGCAAGCTTTCCTGCTGTGAGGAAGGGGGGGGGGCTTGCTGGCATTTGGTTGTCTCTCTAGCCTCGTCTTTGATGGTCCATGCTTCTTATTACTCTGTATCACATTTGAGGACCTGTGAATACTGCCCCCGTTCCCAAGCAACCGTAACTGACTAGAAGGCAGACTTCTTCTGAAACCCGTGGGAGACTGCATGAAACCACACCGACCGCCTGCCCCCCCGAAAGAATGAAGGCAGGATGCACCAGTTCTCCCAGTAAGACACAGAAACCTAAGGAAGAACGAGCTTGCTCCAGCTTCAAGTCTGAGGTGTAGCCCGTCAGAGTGGGGAAGCCCCCCCTTTCTGCAAGGGGATGTGGATTCTAGTACACCCCGCCCAAGCTTGAGGCACATTGCATCCGTACTCAGGAGGCAGGGGCAGCGGAAGGTTGTCATTCAACCTGCTTTCTCCTTTCTCCCTCTGACTTTATAGTCCAGGGCCACGGCCTACGGGACTGCTATCACCCACATTCAGGGTGGCTCTCCCCTCCTTGATTACCCTTTCCGGACACAGCTTTGCAGACACGCCCAGAGGTATGTCTCCTAGGTGACTACAAGTCAGGCCAAGGTGATAATAAAAATTAACTGTCACATCTGCAAAACCATAGTAATGAGGGCAAAGCTCCAATCCCCCGGTCCCCCCCCCACTTCGTAAAACAACCTAAAATGTGGTCCGTACACAGCCTAGGTAAAGAGAATCACAGCAAATGATATAGACAGGCACATAATGAAAGATTAACCTCACACTTTCCCGGTCCTCTCTGTTCCCCCTACCCCCAAATGATAGTAAGTGCTTATAATGGGTATTGACAAGACTGTGGAGAAGAAAAAAACTCTCACACATTGTTGGAGGGAATCTAAATCAGAACCACACTGGAACTACCTGGCAACCTAAAAGAAGAATTAGCGTATGATCAAGCAACCTACCTTCTTGGATATAACCAAAGAAAGTGAAATAATTGGCATGATTAAGAGATATTTGCATATGCCCATTACAATATTATTCACAACAGTCAAAATACAAAATGACCCGAGGCTGAGTGTCCATCAGTGTGGGAATGGAGAAAGAAAATGCTATAATACATGCCAGGTAATGCTACACAGGCTTCAAAGAAGGAGATTCTACCATTCACAATATGGGTGAGCCTGGAAGGCATGAGGATAAGTGATGTAAGCCAGGCACAAGCAGATAAATACTGTGTGATCTCTCTTATATGTGGGATATAAAAGAGTCAGTCTTGGAGAAGTGGAGAGTAGAAGGGGTTTATCAGAAGCAAGAGGAGAGATGGGGAGAGATGGCGATTTTTTTAAAAAAGCTACATAATTTTTATTGGTCTAAAGGGTGGGCTTTTGTGATCTATTATTCTGTGCAGGAACCACCATCAATGTCATGCAGGGCTTTAAAATTGCCAGCATATCTTTAATGTGCTTGCTACCTAAAATCTGGTGTCTTGGTGAGGTGTTGTTCATGTTAACTAGCTCGGCTGGATCTTTCTGCAGTGTGTACATAAGTCAAAACTCTTTCCTATACATATACACGAAACGCATTGTCACTTGAACAAATAAATAGAGTAGGGGATGAGGGAATGAGCTAGTGAATGAATCTAGGCACCTCCAAGAGTAGGGATGTATTCTAGAGGATCCTGTAAAAATGAAGAAGTCAAAGGCACAAGACAGAGAAGACAGGACGTCCCATGTCTCAGAGAAGGCTGGGCCTTTGAACACAATGTCTTGTCACAAAAAAAAAATTGCTGAGGGAACAGACTAGAGAGGGCTGAGCAGTGAGGAGCACTTGCTGTTTCGCAGTGAGCCTATGTTCAGTTCCCAGCACGCACTCACAACCAAATATAACTCAAGTTCTAGGGAATCCAATGCCCTCTTCTGGCCTGTATGTATGAACACTTGCACAGACATGGCATGCAAACACACACACACACCCAGGCAAGCACACATGCATGCAAAAAATAAATAAATAGCCTTAAAAGCGCCAAGGAAGAGACGGATGGGAAAATACATAGGCAAGGTAGCGAGAACCCCGTGGAGTCCCCATGTCATAGCTGCTATGCTGCCTCTATACATTAGAAGGCTCGGTGTGGGGGTGTCTAAAGCCTTTGCCTCAGAGATTGATTAGTAAAGTGCACAGCTGAGGTTGTTGGCTTTAAATTTAGACTGATACTCATTTACTCTGGCACGGCACATTTCGTTTTTTCCCCCACCAGGACTTGTCACCTTCCTAAATGACACACATTGAATGGTTGGGTAGGTTTATTTGGGGACTTGGGGGGAGGAAAAGGTATTAGTTGGTGATACATTAGTCCGAGGAAGCAGCCTTCCAGAAGAGAGACTGGAAAGTGATAGATGTTTGGAAGCAGAGACAGGGGTGCAGAACAGCCAATTAGCAGGTGATGACACGGGCAGAAAATGGACAGTGACCAGCACTTGTCCTCATCTGAGGATCAAGTGAACGTGGTAAGAAACTGGAGAGTAGGGTCAAAGGCAGCAGAGAGAGTAGTAGCCCTGAGACACGGGTAAAGTTAGTGGTTTAGGTGTTGTTACTCTGTGGAAACGGTCTGGGGTTGTGTTGTTTCAATGGAGGTAAACTCATTTCTCAGAGCAGAGACCAGCCCTGAAGGCACTGGGAGATTTATGAGACCGTCAGATTGCAGTAGCGTGGACGGAGAGGACACGAGACACATGGGAAGAGAGGAGGAAGGCAGAATTGGTCAGTGTTAACCCAAGATGAGCAACAGGCTTCCCAACTTAAAGGAAAACATGGGATATTTAACCATGCTAGCCGGAATTTCCAAGAGGAAAAGCAGCCACCGGAAATGGGATTTATTTATATCCTACATACGTAGGTAGCTATTATGGCCTGTTGTGGACTGACGGAGAAACGACACCTCCCGTAGACTTGTATATATTTGAACACTCGATCTCCAGTTGTGAGTGGAGCCTTTACAAGAGGAAGTGCATCATTGGGGGCCAGCTTTGAGTATTTATGACCTCACCCCACTTCCTGTTTGCTCTCCTCCTCCCTTTCTCCTGCTGCTCTCCCTCCCCCCCTCTTTCTCCTTGTCCCTGCCTTCCCCCACCCTCCTTGCCTCTCTCTCTCTTCTCTCTCTCTCTCTCTCTCTGACCCTCTCCATCTCCTTCCCTCCCTCCCACTCCGCCTCCCTCCTCCTTTCTCTTCACCTCCTCTCCCTGACCCCCTGCTTCCTTCCGGTGTATGAGTGAAAATGTGGCCGGCCAGCTTCCTGTTCCTGCTGCCATTCCTGCCTGCCGCCAAGCCTTCCCTGCCACTATAGAGTCTATCCTCCTGGATTCACAAGCCAAAATGACCCCTTTTCTTCTGCAAAACGCTTTGGTCGTGGTATATCATCGCAGCAACAGAAAAGTCACTACAAGAGGGTCCCAGAAAGAAAGGAGTGGCCCACTTCAAACAGAACACAGGGCTGTATACAGAAGTGCAAATTAGGAAGAGAGTGCAAAAACCTCGTGGGGACTCAAGGGACCACTAATAGCTGCCATTAACCAGCGCTAGAGAAGACAGTTACCAAGACCTGCACACACACACACTCACACACACTCACACTCACACACACTCACACACTCACACACACTCACATACACACGGAAACACACACACTCACACACTCACACACACTCACACACACTCACACACACTCACTCACACACTCACACTCACACTCACACACTCACACACTCACACTCACACTCACACACACTCACACACACACTCACATACACGAAACACACACTCACACACACTCACACACTCACACGCACTCACACGCACGCACACTCACACACACTCACACACGCACACACACTCACGCACGCTCACACACTCACACACACTCACACACACACACACTCTCACACACACACACGGTTTCCCAGTGAGAAGTATGGCCTTTGGTTGAGAGATTCAGTTTCGGAGATGGCTCTTGATTTCTAGACAATTCTTTCCATTACCTAAACCCTTTGGAAACGAGGGGCCAGGAAAACCCAAGGGTGGGGGTTCATAGAAGTCAGTTTCTTGGGTCACAGAGCAAGTGGCTATGGCTGAAGAATGGCTCTGGAAGACAAGTGGGGGGGTTAACTCCAGCAGGACTCTTTAGGACGCTTTAGCCTTCCTTCCGTGGAACACAGGTGACACACAAAGCAGGAGAGGCGGGCACGCTCAAATTCTCACGTGTTGTCGCTGTTGCATTTTTAAATCGTCCAATCGCAGCATCGCTTGCTCCCAGAGACTGGCTACATTGCTTCTACCACACCATCCCTGTCCTCTTAGAAGTCCAGCTACAGCACCACTGTGTTATAAAGGCTTTTTATTGCACAATATTCTCTGAGAACCATTGGTCACATTCCTGAACCCAGAGCTTCTTCCTGGTTCAAAGTAGTCTGCGTATTATTCCGGGTGTTATATATAATTTAATGGCGTGGCAAGCTTTGCTTGGATCAGTCTTCGAGACACGAGTCTGAAAACCCAAGGGAAGTAGAGTTGGG